CGCACACTTGATCTGGGCCGTCCGTGCGCGCGGGGACGCATCTGGGTCGTCCGATCCGCGCGCACGCGGATCGCCCATGTGGCCCGTTCCCTCGACGTGGGCTTGCCACGCGGCAGGTCTTGGTTGGCTAAGGCTGCTGACTGGGCCGCTGACGTGGCTGTTGACGTGACGCTCTTTTTTTTTTTTTAAATTAAACTAAACAAAATTAATACTAACAAAAAAATGCCCAAATTGTTTGGGCGTTACAGTTAAATAGATGAACTAAAGTAAAAACTTTCAAAAATGTATAAATTAATTTAACTAATTAATGAGGTAAAAAGCAACTTAAACAAAAATTAAAAATATAAAAACTAAATAATTATTTTTGTCATGAAAAAAATAAGATAAAAAAAAAACATCCTCAAACAACAAAATTAGTAATTATTAAGTGCTTATGTTCCCCTTTTCACTTCAATGCCAAAAGAATCCACTAAGTTAAGGGAAGATTTTAATTTTAATTTTATTTTTTTTAAAAATATATAATTCCATATCCACCAATATAGAAATGTGGTTAAGTAATTATTTCTAATACTATTTAATTTTGAGTGGAGAAAAACCTACCAATTAAAAAAATTAAGGATAAGAACAATAAACCTATTATTTTAACTTTTTTAAAGAAAAAAAAAATTATTGTTTTTATTAAAAAAATTATTCCGAGGTACCTTTTTTTTGGAATATAATTATGTGGTTTACAAAATTAACGTGTTTATTCTAACCATTATCAATATATTCGTCCATATTACAAGTTTATTTGGTTTTTGCCTAATGTATAATAAAATATATGATAAATTAATAAATTAATTTTTAAAATTTAATTTTTATTATAATTTATTTTTATTATGTTTTTATTATAATTTAGTCATCGATATTTAATATTTATTTATTTTTTAAATAAAATAATTAAATTATATTTAAAAAATAATTTTAATTAATTAATTATATTAATAAATTAATAACAGTAAAAAATAAATCTAATAATATGATTAATTTAATTAATTAGTTAAAATTATTTTCTAAAATATTATTTAATTAATGTTATCTTTATTAAAAATAAAAAATAGTGAAAAATATATTAAAATCTAAATTATATCATATCTGAAATTTTTGAAAAGTAACTTAGAAATTTTAATATAAAAAAAAGTTGTGTGTGTACATAATGTCGTTAGCATTATCAGAGTATGGCACTGGTACAAAGCGTACCGCCCATCCTTTCGTGATAGTACGCATCATGTGCGGTGTAGTACGACTCTCCTTGTACTGTGTAAGTCCGCTGACGTGGCCACATCAGGATCGTCCATTCGCTTATAATATATGTTGCTTAACCGCTGATTTTACCTTCCAGCACAAACAGACAGTACTTAATATAAGTGAAAAATAAAGATGAACGCTCTTCAACCTGTCCTGAAATTACCAAAAAATTCGAAGCAGAAAGAAGATGGTGGCAGCAGCAACAGCGGTTATGACTGGTACAATTCTCACGTCCTCGCTGCTTCCCCGAGGTCGACATGTCTGCTAACACTCCCTCTTCTCTCTATTGCTCTCTTTCTCTTTGTGTTATTCATTTTTTGGTGATTGATTTTGCAGGGCTTACGAGACCAGTTCCTGGTCTGCATTGGACAAATAACCAGGTTAGTTTAAATATTACTGGTATCGGAAAGTTTGTCATCTGTTTTCATTTCTTAGGAATTTATTGAAAGCTGCTACTTGGAGCGTATTAATGATGTTCGATGAAATGCTTTTACGAAAAAAATTGACGTCTGTTTTTTGCAGCGACAGTTTGTGAGGAAGACTGCCTCTAATGTTATCACTGCAAAATTTGAGCTCAAGCCTCCACCATATCCGCTGGTAAGACTCTGGAGATACACTTTTCTCTGTTGTCTTTCTTTTTCTTTTTCTTCAAATAAAGTATGTAGTTTCCTGACTTTGTTGTTGAGAAGCTAATGTTTTACTGCTTCTCGTTTGCTGCCAAATGGCTGCGCTAACTTCCCTCGGCTATGTCATAGAACGAGGTTAAATTAGCGGTTTTTCTTTTTTAAATTCATCTCACACTCCCTCACGTGTTTTAGAGTTTAAATGAGTCGAAGGTCTTGGTGCTTCAGTGTGGTTTAACCAGCGATGCTTGAAATCTGCACTTCGACTTCGCCATTATCTACCTTTTCAAATTGACCATATATATATATATATTAAACTTAATTAACTTTGAGCTGCTAATAAGTAGCTAGCTTCTCCATTTTCATTCTTGTGCACTCAAATTCCCGCATTGTAAACGTCACAGTAATAGAAATATTTACGTGCTCAACAACAAAACTTGTAAGATGAATTGGGAATTATGTAAATGAGCAACATTTCAGTATCAAATACGGAGCTGCAAAGTTATTCTAAAAATAATAGCCATTGGAAGATAATTCAAATTTTATTTGCAAGCATTCCCTGAAACAGGTTTTTCAAGCAGCCACATAAAAAGTTAGTCGTATTTACTGTGAGCTTGTTGAAATTACTTGCAAATATCAGATATTCAGTTTGAACGCATGTGTCAAATCTGCAGAATGCTTTGGAGCCAAATATGAGCCAAGAAACCCTGGAGTATCACTGGGGAAAGCACCATAGAGCTTATGTTGAGAACCTAAACAAGCAAATTGCAGGAACAGAGTTAAATGGCATGTCATTGGAAGAGATTGTAATTGTTTCATACAACAACGGGGACATGCTTCCAGCTTTCAATAATGCTGCACAGGTTTGCCATGGGTGAATTTTCCATTTCTACCATTTTATTTGGATTGGTTTATTAATAATTCAATGGAAAAATAAGTTACATTGAGCGACAAAAGAGTCAAAGCTATGGTACCAATCAATTAGGTATAATTACTAATTTTTCTGTTATGGTCGTAGATTCTTTTGTATTTTCTTAAAAAGTCATTTTACATGCACAAGAATTTTCTATTGAAAATTTTCTTTTAAGGTTGCACTTTTTGCTCATTATTTGTAGTGCAGGCAAATTTTTGTGTTCCTATGCCGTATGCATTTGTTTTTTTATTAATATCTGCTGTCCGGGAAATTAATTTATAAAAATTTCTGTATGGTATTTGAATTCTCCTATCTGTTTCTAGGCTTGGAATCATCAATTCTTCTGGGAATCCATGAAACCGGGCGGTGGGGGAAAGCCATCTGGAGAACTTCTAAGTTTGATTGAAAGAGATTTTGGTTCTTTTGAAAGATTTGTAGAAGAGTTTAAATCTGCTGCAGCCACGCAATTTGGTTCTGGCTGGGCTTGGCTTTCATGTGGGTATTCCACTTGTTCTGTCTGATGTAGCTTTATTTCACTTTATATCTCCTGTATGTTTCTCTTGCTAGATTTTGTAAGAATAGTTGATTTAGCATTATCTGGGTTGTTCAGATAAAGCAAATAGGCTGAATGTTGGAAATGCAGTAAATCCTTCTCCATCAGATGAGGATAAAAAGCTTGTGGTGGTGAAGAGTCCCAACGCTGTAAATCCCCTTGTTTGGGACTATTCTGTGCGTATTAATGACTGGCCTTGAGATTTCAAATCAGATATGTGCTTTTGCTATGTTAACCTAATTATGTTATTTGGTTGCTTGCAGCCGCTACTTACAATTGATGTTTGGGAGGTATTAAAGATTTTGTGAACTTTCTTTCTGTGAATGGCTTTTTCTATGATAGCATTTGTTATTTGATTACTAACTTTGGAATTTGATCCCTCTACAAACAGCATGCATACTACTTAGACTTTCAGGTACGACTTCTTGAACATAGTTATAGTTTCCTTTCTGTTTTCATGATAATGATCAGTAATTCATTATCTATTTTATTAACGTTATGATAATGATCAGTAATTCATTATCTATTTTATTAACGTTATGATAATGATCAGTAATTCATTATCTATTTTATTAACATTTCCAATTCCAACAGGGTGTATCTTTGTCTTCAGCCTAGTTAACTCTTATTTACTGATGATTTTTAATAAATGTCCCTTTTTCCCTCAGAACCGCAGACCTGATTACATATCAACATTTATGGAGAAGCTTGTATCATGGGATGCAGTAAGTGACAGACTCGAGAATGCGAAGGCTCGCGCTGCAGAAAGAGAAAAAGAAGAAGAAAGGAGGAGAAAGGAGGAAGAGGGGGAAAAAGCTGGAGATGATGAAGCTGTAGAAGTGTACTTGGATAGTGAACATGACGAATCAGAAGTTGAATGAATTTGGAAACATGGACACGTTTTTCTTGAATCTACCATGGGTTTTGTAGGATACCACCAATTTCCGGGTCTTTGCGGGGTTAGGAGATATTAATTGAGATCTAGTTGTTGTGTTGTATCAATGAACAAGCATATTTCAACCCGAATAACACAAACTATTTCCAAGAAGTTCACCCCTTATTCTGACTCAGCTTGCTAAAATGACCAGACTTTTCCCGCCCCCCTCCCACCCCCTTTATTTTGTCTGCGTGGATGTAAGTATAGGTCGAACTAGTTTACCATGATATAACCATTGAAGGGTTTTATTCTCCTAGATTTCTGTACAATGGAATACAGTTAGGAGAGGAGGGGGAGAAGGAACCAATGTAGTAAAAGAAAACAATTGTTACAGTTATCATTATCTTATGGCAGATGTCTTTAGAGACAGAAAAGCTTCAAGATCTGACATCCTCGAATTTTCACGCGGAGGAGGTCCGAAAGCTTCCCAGAACCTAAGAGTCTCATCGCCCCCAGCCGATACTACAGTTTGTCCATCAGGGCTCTGCACAACGGAATGTACAAAAAAAAAAACTTGTAACTAATGGATTTAGGAGGATACAACCATCTATCAAGGTGCTGGTTTATGCAAGGTACAGAACTAAAGAACCTGGCAAAGGTTTATTACTCTGGCTTCATGAGATCCTAACTGTCCTACTTTACTCATGGAAGGGTATCTCCATAAACATAGCTTGTTGTTATGCTCATTCAAACTGTATCCATGCCCACTCAGTATTTCCTTATGATGCCTGTTCCACTCCAATCCACAAATCTGCACATTTTGACATCAATCTATGATGAGCACCCCCAGAAAAAGATGAGCACTTAAGGTATCTTTCCATAAATGCGAAGAATTTCATAGAAACTGACTTGCCTGTGCTTTAGTGTCTACGCTGGAGATGCATCTTCCGTTTTGTGTGTTCCATATCTTAATGCATCCATCTTGGGAGCCTCCTCCGGAGGCAAGTACGCTAAACTGATATGGGCACCACGCAAGAGCCTTGACTGCAGCGCAATGGTCATTAAATCGGAACAAGAAGTTTGTTGATTTCATTTTTGCAGCTTCCCATACATATACCAGATTGTCATTGCCACCACTTGCCAGTAATTTGCCTTCTTTTGACCATTTTAAACCACACACTTCTTGAGTGTGTGCTCGAATGTGGGAAGCCAAATTGTTACCCGCTCTAACTGACAGTTTAAAGGGAATATTAGAATCCAGAAAAACAGCAGATAGATGTTAATCTTTTCCACAACTATCGGGACATTGAATGGTTACCATCATGATTAATAATCTTTTTGTCCTGGCCTCCTGATGTTAAGATGTGGTCTTTCCATGAAATGGCTGCTGTTCTTCCATTATGAGCCTCCAGGTTTCTGACCTGCGTGTAAGAGAAACTGTACTTTCAGCTTCACACATAGGATCGTGTATAGTTGTATCTTGAAAATGGGTGAAACTTATTTTTTTATTCAATTTTCAGTGACTAAACACTAGGGTTTGCACAAACATATACTGAATTTAGAAGATAAAAAGTCAAGGAAGAAAGGAGAAGCATACAAGTTTTGAAGTTTCAGCATCCCATAGCTGAAGTTTAGAGCGCATGTATCCTACTGTAATGATTCTGGAATCATCAGACCAGGCCAAGCTTGTAGGATAATTATTTTCATCATCATGAACATCAAACAGTTTCTTTGTATCTCCATTCTCTGGATTCCACAGGTATATTTCTGGACCCAGAGCCACAGCAAGAACATTGTTTTGTCCCCAATCTATGATGTTTAAATAATAATCATTTCTAAGCCTCGGTGCATCCAAAATCCTAGCTGCTCCCTGTACCCACAAAGGATAAGTTATCTAGAATTGCAGTAGGAGATTCAAAGAAGAAAAAGGCTGTACAGGGACCTTAGGCAACCACCTTGGGCAAGGATCGAAACCGATTTTGCTTGCTGCCGAAATCTAGTTCTTCTGCATCATCTCGTCGCATTTCATCAATATGAAGAAGGGACTTTCTGCTAGATTTAGGGCTTCCCCTAAAAACTAACATCCTAAATGGTCTCCCTTCTGAATCCAATGTCAGTTTTTCCGCTAATTTGTCTCTGTATACTTCCTACATGAATCAAACAACTTCATGGTTGATAATTTTATGTTGCATTTTAACATGCTTACCAAGTCATGATTCGAGAATTTCCCCAACAAAATAACTCAATTATATATACGAGAAGCACAAGACAATGTTTGAATGCAATCATGTTTTTGAACGTCTGATTGAGATCATATATTAGCTTCTTAGTCACAAATTGCATCAAGATTTGAACCCAAGAACCTGAGTACCCTTCTATTAATGAAAGAGAAAACATACATTAAATTTCGGATTGTGAAATTCTCGAGTTCTGTTAGTCAACAAACTATGGGCCTGATCAAGATCCATCAAACTCCGATTGGGTATAAACCGATCACCCTTGGCATAAAATACACAGAAGAATCGTTCTTCAATTAAGAATAAGAATAAGAATAAAAAGAAGACGAAGAAGAAGAAGAAGAAGAAGGGTGATCTTTTGTTTAAGAAATGAAACAAAGAAAGGTTCATTACCGGAAAATCATATTCGGTGGGACTGCTCAGGAGCCGTCTGGGAGAGTACCAATCTGATTCAAGTAATTTCCGCAGTGCCATTTCATCCATTTCGAGGAACCAGAATATGAAGAAATGAAGATATTATTTTGAAGCAAAAGCTAGAACTGGCAGTCTTAGGACGTACTTATCTCCCGCCAGAAAAGCCCAACGGTCGGGATGCAACTGTTGTTATAGTTGAAGAGTCGGGTCGATTTGAGATAACGGATCCACTGAATTACCGGTTGACCCGATTGTAGTCGGATGCGGGCTGTAACCGTCTTCTTAGGGCCCTATTTGTCCTTTACGTAGATATAGATTAAGGTCAGATACACAAGTTTCGCATATTTGTAATAAAAATAAAATAATAATAAAGTACGGTCATATATATATGTATACACACATTTAGTACAACTATAGATTAATATTTTGTAATTTTTTAAAAAGAATTTAGTACCCACGATTTAGTTTTTAACATTTTATATAGATTTATTCATGTTCAAATTGTAATTGCATTTATTTATATTTCTAAATAAAAATACACTTAAATTTATTATAAGATAAATTAAAACTTAAAGAGATTAGTATCTTTTTTTAATTTAATGATAAAAAAAATTAAATAGATTATAAAAAGATTGTTTTAATTTTCTAAAAGTAATAACACTACCACTAAAAGAGATGCTGAAAATTGAAGAAAGTTGGTAAACTGATGATAGAGGAGTTAGCAACCGAAACTCCAGCGAACGGCGGCTGTAACGATAGTAGTTTTAAGGTAATAAAATGCTTCATTTACATTATGATGTTTGTGAAGTAGTTGATTACGCTAATAAAATCAGTTTATGATTAAAGAACAAGGCCTGGATCACATTTTATCATGTTTAAGGATTGAAAACACGGGGACTGACTGATTATTCAACAACACGAATTAATCATATACACTCCAACAAAAATGACACACCTACATATATATGTATATCCAAGTTAAGGAAGGTGAGGTCCGTTAGGGACTCTACATGATCTCCTGATCTCCCCAGAGGTGCCGGTGAGCACTCCAACAGCTCCCAGTTTAACCACGGCAGCACCAAACCTAGTGGGGAAATCAAGAGAATTGGCTAGATTGGCCACCAGAGGTCTTGTCACAGGGTGTAATGTTAGCTTCTGGTCAAACTTGAGAACTCCTCTGTTAGACATTAACTGCTTGTAGTAGGCTGAGTCAATTGTGAATGGCCCAACTGGACTGCTCTGATCCAGGTTTACTGTGTTGTCTGTGGTTGCATTTTCAGGACACCTTGATTTTAGCTCATTGACTAGCAAATGGTCCATGCTTGGCTCAAATCTCCCTGTGTTTTTCATGTTGTATAGCCCATCTTTGATGTTGGAACAATGTACAACTCCAACACTGTGAGCACCTGCATTAACAGGAAAAATACCCGGTTTGTTTTTTAAAGCCGTTATAACTATTTCAATTGAAAGAATTTAATTATCATAAAATATTTTCTTTACCTAAATATATTATGGTCCACTAGAACAAAATTCAAATTCGTCGTTACAGTTCTATTAATACACTGATGAAATAAGTTATAAATTATGTTAAATTAAATAGGTTGGTCACTGTCAGTTCATAATATATCAATTCAGTTAATAGAATCTTATCGATGTAGTAATGAATTAAGTTTTATCTTTTAATCCATCGTGACTACTGTAATTAAAAAAATCTAACCATCATGAAATATTTCTTTTGCTTAAATATGTCATATTCTATTAAGATAAAATTTAACTTAGTCGTTACATATCTACCAACACACACTGATAAGATAAATCATAAGTCATGGTAAATGAAATTGAACGGTTACTACCATTTCAAAATATACTAATTTAATCATTACAAGTTTACTATCGTACTGATGAGTTAAGACATAAATTTTACTAAATTAAATATTATTGTTGGTCTCAACCTGCACATAATACATTCACAAAGCAACAAGTTTTATATGTTTAATAAATTTTAAATTCCGACGTTCAAGTAAACCGTTAAAAATCTTAACCGATAGATCACACCGTATTTGTGATAATTGATTATGAATTTTGAAGCAATGAAAAATTGTAATTTTATGTAAGATGTACCTAAAAGAAGAACCATGTCTGTAGGAGTAAGCCCTTTATCTGCAAAAAGCTTGATAGACTCGGACACAGATATTGAAGGCGATGGGAGACTACTGTTCAAATTGTGAGCTGCAGATGCTAAGCTATCTCTTCTTCCAGTCCGCACGTCATATCTGCCCCCACCACCCTGGAAGTAATTTATGGTCATATATGAATTACATCATTTTCAGCACTTTATTTACAATAATCATTATTAATTGAATACCCAGTTCATCAATTATATATATATATATATATATATATATATATTCCAGTGATTATACCAAGAAAACAGCATCTCTGGTTGCAATGGCGATGAGGTCAGCGCAAGAGACGACACCAGGGCACAGTTTTTCCACAGCAGCCTTTGCTTCATCTATGATATTGTATCCTCTCAATCTCAGATTTGGAGTTGCTCTTTTCTCGCTTTTCATGCCGTCTAACAGTAACGATGCATCACAACCCTTTAATTTTGTACATCATTTTCATGGAAATTAATCACTTTCTTACTCAAAATTAATAATCAGATTCATCTCAGCTTGTGGAATTGTATACTTGAGAAATGACCCAGATCATGCTAATTCAAAATTAGAATTACAAGGGTCCACATAAAGCTTGTTTATCTATAGAATTAATAAATGGTTGAACATGCTTTTCCTGCATGGAATGGGAAAAGAACACAAACAAGTATTCAAAAGTGCAAAAAGAAAAGGAAGAGCTTACACCAACAATGCAGTCATGGAACTGTAAGCGCAAGAGAGAGGCGACAATGGTTGGATCTCTGACGAATTGCCCAGTGACAACTCCGGCTACTGTGGCCTCAACATCGGCAATCCCACATTTTCCCCCGTAGAATCCGACGCGCAATGCGCCCCGACATAGAACTGCCCAGTTTGCCAACATTATCACCCATAACCCAACACTCACTTCAGCTGTTGCTACCTTCATCTTGTTTATGAAATCAAAGGATATTGCTGATAATTTCTTCTCTATACTTAGTTTGACAGTGGGAGATAGGAAGAATGTGACAACAGAACAAAACCCTCTTACAATTTTCTAAAGTTAATTTCTCCTAAAGAAATAAAAGTTCCGGAGGAAGTGCATTTAAGTGTGTGTTTAAAGATAGAGAATGGTGCTCTTGGTGCCACTTCCATTTTGGCTAACACCTTCTCTTTTTCACATTAATTGAATCTGATTATTTTTCTATTCATTTGATAATCCATTTTATTAAGAGGCACCAATGAAATGTTGCCTGCTGTCCGAGGATCAGAAGTCGAACTCTCAGTTAAAATTCCTCGAATCTTATCATGAAGAGATGATTTCCTGTCAAAAAGTTACTGGGGAAGTAGAACCATTATGGCTGATTCTAATAAAGTGAAACATTTGAATAGGAGGAGACAGTAGATGAATTCACCATTTCACCATTTCAGAAAGAATAAAATTGTGTGAAGCGTTGAAAAGAAAGCATCAAAAGTATCTTATGCCAAAAGTATTTACAACCAATGTGAATTCAGGATTCTCAGGACAATATTGTACTGCCACTAATGGATGATCTAAGGAGAAGCCTGAACCTTCAGACACTAAGAACACCTCCCTATTTTTACAAACACGAACAGAGTAGAGTGCCATAAACCTGAATATCAGAGACAAAATTAGTACAAGTAAGACGATCGATGGGCAGGTGCAGTAGGAGGCAAAGGAGCATGCCTAAGAGCGGTACTGTTATATGGATTGTTCTCCACTATTGCATCAGCAAAACCATATAGATCAGATGCTGAGCTCCGCTTAGTAGCAGCAGCACCAGCAGACAAATTTGGCAAACTTCCAAAACCTTCTACAGATGACGATGATGACCCATACAGGCTAGCAAGTCCAACTGATGTTTGTTTTCCAGCATAACTTTGTCTATAAGTTGGATCTCTAATGCCATGCCGTCCATGTGGCAGGTTACTGGGGCTTATAGTTTGCTGAAGCTCATCAACTCTTGTCTCACCATGAATCCTAGAGTATGAACCTATCTTAAGGTAATCTACACCAGCTGCCATATTGTGTCCAACTCCAGCTGCGAGCACTGAATCTTTACCAACTACCTTCGGGCCAAGAATATTTTCATGCAAAGATCCAACACCAGGTCCATGTGATAAGGAAGAGGCATAATAACTATGAACATG